TTGCAACACTTACGTAGTTTTCTGTTGAGTAGATGTACCTTAATATATTTAACTAGGACTTTATTAATGGCATTTGGTTGGTTTCCAAACATTCACTATTGCCTCACTGCAAATCTCGTATCTTTGTTATTTCACACATGTGCGAATTGGGGTTTAGTATTAACTCTTAGAAGTGAAATTGCTGACTAAAAGAACATATTCTTTTCTTAAATTTTGGTTGATAATGTCAAAATGTTATCAGGACTGAATTAATTTAGACTCCAGTCAGCATTGTCTGAATGAGTGCCTGTGTCTTACCCGAGCCTCCCAACTGAATGTATCCAAACATTTGGTTGTTTTCACTTTCAATCTGTCTTTTCATAACCTCTGGATTTTGAGTCAAAGTTACAAAAGCCTTTTTGATCCAAAATTATAAAACATTTTTCCATGTTTTCTTCTAGTATTTTTATTCCTTTGGATTTTATCTTATTATAGGGTTGAGTAATGACAACAGGTTAATTTTTTTTCAAATGGCCACCTTGTTGTCCCTGCATTATTTATTAAAAGTCCTTCTTCACTTTGATCGATTTGAGATGTCAGCTTTATTATACACTAAATTCCCATATGTCCTTGGATAAAATGTATTGTATATGGATGATGACAAAAATGGGGAAAATATATATAGCAGGGAAAAGGAATACAAGAAAGTAAAATAGGAAAATCCTTGGTGAGAAGATGATATTTAAGTAAACATCTGAAGGAAGAGAGATGATTGAGGCAATGCAATGTGGTACTTTAAACAAGCTTTTTGGCCCTGGCCAGATACCAGATAGCTCAGTTGGTTAGAGTGTCATCCCAATATGCTAAGGTTGCAGGTTCAATCCTGACCAGGGCACATACAGGAATCAACCAATCAATGCATAAATGAGTACAACAACAAAGCAATTTCTCTCTCTCTCTCTCTCTCTCTCTCTCATCAATAAAAGAGCTTTTTGCCTCTAAAATCACTTGGGTATTGGGCCAAATAAATCCCAGCTCCATTCTATGACCATAGGCAAGTTTGCATCAATTTATTAATCAGTAAACATGAAATTACAAATACTACATACTTTATGGGATCATTCTAAAAATTAAATTTGATCTTTTTAACTAGCTTAGCATTGAGCCTGACCCATAAAATTTGGTCATTTTTCTTATTATCAGGGATGTTTGTCCTTCTCATTATACATTCCTGAAAGAATTCATGGCTTCAAAATATTCCATTGTGTGGTCATAGGTAAATCTCAAGTGTTAATATCCACGTCCTGCTTTATTTACCTACTAGAGGCCCGATGCACGAAAATTCGTGCAAGAGTAGGCCTTCCTTCCCCCAGCTGCTAGCATAGGCTTCCCTCTGGCACCCGGGACCCGGGCTAGCTTCCCTTGGGCTGCCCGCAGGCACTCGGGACCCAGGCTGGCATCCCTCCAGCCCCAGCTTGGTCAGGAAGGATGTCCAGAATGAGATCCGGAAGGACATCCAGTCTAATTAGCATATTACCCTTTTATTATTATAAATTCCAGACTTTTTCATGGATCTTCAGCCTTACCCTTCCAGCACTACCCTATAATCCTTTTTTTTTGGGTGGGGGGGGATATTTATTTATTTATTTAATCATTTTAATCATTTTTTTTATTTTCACTTTCAGTTGACCTACATTATTATATAGCTTCAGGTGTACACCTCAGTGACCAGACTTAATTACTTATTACATAACTTAATAAGTGATCACCCCAATAAATCCTTCACCCATCCAGCACCGTGCCTAGTTATTAGAATATTATTGTACCCTATAATGCTTTTTAAAAACTTTTTAACCTTGAAATTCTTGAAGATTCACATTGTTGGTGTTTGGCTGATGCAGAGCAGTTATTGTGCGAAAGCTTTGTGTTGCTAGACTGGCCCTTTGGTTGAGAGAGTGGCTTTTTGAGAGGATTTTTTGGTCAGTGCCCACTGGTATTTTCAGGTAGCCAGCCTCTTTAATTCCAAGTCTAGGACGTATGAGGCCAAAAGGAACCCTGGGGAATTCACGCCGTGTTGTTCCTCAGGTCCCAGCTGGTCTGCTTCTCCTCTCCACCTTTCAGAAGCCTTTATGTTTGTTTTCTATCTAATATTGAGAATTTTCCATTGTGGGGAATAGAAGGATGAGGGAACGTGTATATTCTCCATCTTCCTGGAAGAAGAATTCTTATGTTCTTTGTTAAAAGGCAGTCTGAGAAGAAAAACAGGGCTCAAGTTCAAGCTTAGTTTCAATTTGAAAAATAATAGAACTCTCCATCAGAAAGAGGCCCCTGTAAGCAAACCGCCTCCTTGCACTGAGCGCCTGGTCATCCTCAGTTGCTGTCCAAGCCTTGAGACATTGCTGCACCTGGAGTCAGAGGTGAAAAGGATTCCCAGGGACACGCCTTCAGGTGGAAACTCCCGGGGCAGACGGGAAGGCTGGGGGCTCCTCTCTTCCTGCGTTCTGTGGAGCTTCAGCCCCCCTCAGAGTCCCTTTCCTCCGTGAAGAAGTACTAAGGGTCCCCTCTCCCTTGCTCAGAGGAGACCCATCATGGCAGGTTTTCCCTGATGGTAACCTTGTCCATGTGACCCAACTTGGTCCATGCGGATCCAACCTGGTCCATGCGACCCAACCTGGTCCATGTGATTCAACCTGGTCTATGTGACCCAACCTGGTCCGTGCAGACCCAACCTGGTCCATGGGGATCACCTGACATTCCACCAATTCATTTCCTTTTCAGTTGATTTTGCTGTATTTCATGTTATTCCCAAGAAGTTCAGTAAATGTTCCCTTGTGTTTAGTCCTGGGATCAGGGTGACTGAGACTCAGATCCTTCCATCCCCTGTGAGCACTGGGGCCCAGCCGATGGGCTGTGAGACTGGAGTGGCTCAGAGCAGCTGGCCCAGCCTAGGAGTCAGGGACCTTCCAGAATAGCTGCCTCCCCCACATCCCCACACACAGCCTCTTAAAGAAGCCTGTTCCTCGTCTTTAGTTTCTCCCTTGCAGTCCTCACTGCCTGAGTCATATGTCATATTTACTGATTTATTTGTTTTGCAGGGGGGAAGGGGCCAAGGAATCAGCTTCCCTCACTTTATCCACCTCCAGGCCAAGCTCCCCTCTCTGAGTCCACATTCCCCAGGCACCGCCCTGCCTGTCCTGGATGTGTTCCATATATCACCTGCCACCCCTGCCAATGAACCAAACAGCTTTTCAGACCCAAAGTCATACCTGGTGAAATTTTCCTTTTTTGTGTGAGAATATAATGTTATAAAATGTGCATACTTCTTGACCCAGAAATTTCACTTCTGGGAATTTACTCAAAGGAAATGTAGATACACGTGATAGATTAAAACCACCGTTTATAACATCCTAGATGTAAAACCATAAGTGCCCGTCAATAAGGATATGAGACAGTAAATAATGTCACAACCAGACAATAGACTAGCACGTGAGACATGAAGGATGATACAGATCTAAATGTATTGCAATGGAAAGGTGTTTGTGCTATTTTATTACGTGGGGGGGAAATGAGTTGATACAGGTAGCACCATCCCATTGATATAAAATTTATTTACATCCATTCATCTATTAAGTAGTCAAATGGCCCATATGTATTGAATGCCTGCTGTGACCCTCCCTGCCCTAGATATTAAAGAAACAGCAGTAAGCAAAGTCGATGTAACCCCTGTCTTTGTCGAGCTTCCAGTCTCGTGGGAATAGGAAGAACGGGATAGATACCGAGTAAATAAAGAAAAATGTTGTCATAGCTAAGACAGAAAAGGGCAAGGGACAGTCTTAGAACAGTGGGGGAGGGGGGATTGGAGAGGTGACTTAAGACTTGAAGGATGAATGGAAATTATGCATGGGCAGACAGAGAGGGACAATGTTCCAGATAGAAAGCCTTGAGGTTGGAACTAGCTTCCGGTATGTTTGAGAAACTCAAAGAAAGGTGGCCGGAGAGAGTGGAGTGAAGGAGAGAGTGCCACCCAGAGCCTGAGACGATGAAGACATGGGCCAGACCGTGTAAGACATGGGAGCCC